CATTCGAGATGGCTTTAGGCCTGCACTTCAGTGGATCTTTTAATTTTGCACTTTCACCCTGTGTATTTCCAACAAACTTATGGTTTTTTATCTTTCCATCAAGAATCAAGTCTATATTTTCAGCCATGTCCTTCACTACAACCAACATATACTACTCATCTCCTCATTCCCTTATGTTCGTGTGTTAATTTGATATATAAATATGCTTAGATGCTTTCTGAATATGAATTCACTACCAGCTTTAGAATTATTCTTTCCTGTACCTATGCCTATGTGACCACACACACACACACACACACACACACACACACACACACACACACACACACACACACACACACACACACACATATATATATATATATATGAGCTCTTGCTGACCATCACAACATTAGGTACTTCTCAGAAATTTTCACAATATCTAGCTTCCTCAAAACTCTCATGAAGTGAGAGCACAACAAACCCATCATCTCAAACTTCTTATAGGTGCATTGAATGCTACCTTCTGTTGCAATAAAATCAATAACCCAAGGGCTATATTGGTCCTTATTCTCTGTATAGTTGACTAAAAATTTTGAAGAATCTCTTGAGATAAAGTCTATACTCATTCCACCAACACCCTGTAAAAATTCTTCTTTAAAAAATGAATATAGTTTTCTTGAGTAAAATCAAGCAGCTTTCTTTAATATTGAGCTCCTTTTTATTGCAGGTACTATTTTTGACTAGCTATATTTGTAGTCATCATCCTATTCATTTTGGCGCCAAGTCATCATCACCTTCTCTAAGCCTATAAAACAATCACTTATAGAACTTTTTGGCTTCAAAATGCCATGACACATATTATTAGTAGACTCCCTAAATTGTGTGTATAAAATGCCCATGTTAAAAAAGTAATTTTGATTTTTATTGGCCGCTTATTTCGTATCCTATAAAGATACTCCAACCAATCATGGCTATGGAGGCTCCATTCTGTGAGCATTTCAGCCCATATTTTCTTAAACTTCTCATAATCACACTTACTCAAACACTTATAAAAGAGTCCTTTAACTTTGTTGTTGCTATTGAAGCACCCAACTTTTGATGGAACCTTTTTAGAGATGTACCATTGGCACAGTCTATGATGAGTGTGAGGTGATGCAACTTTTATGGCCCTAGCTATTTCTTGGTCTTGATTAGTAAATATTGTCATTAATGGATGTTTATCACCTATTATTTGTACAAATATTCTAAACGATCATGTAAATGATTCAATTATTTCCTCTAACAAAAAGACCACCCCTAGCAAAATGTTTTGCCAATGATTTTTAATATCGATAAATTATGCTCAAACTAAATTATATTTATTTAGCCTATAGCTAGTATAAAAAAATTATCACATCTCTAAAATAGTCATAATATATCATACTCATCCCATCAATCCAAAAAAAAGTTAACAATCTATCAAATTCATCAATTTAGATGTCCTATAGGAACATGTTGTCATCAACTTGAAAATCTTTAAATATTTGAATAAAAAAATTTGTGTCCCCAAATTCAATCTTTGCTCTTTTCTCTTTTTGAATAAAGTTGTATGCATCCGTCCCTCTTAGAGAATCCAACATTCTCGATGCCTCCAATTTCCTTTTAAAAGGTAAGAGAATGCATCAATGGTTCATATCCTAGCTTTTGTCATTAATTTATAAACTTAAATTTTCTCATCATCAATATTCCTACATGACCTTAGGAGGTGCCAGTCTTGTGGGATTCAATAAATTTTTTCACATTTCAATTTTCAACTTCACCAGCTATAAACCTAAACAAAGATGGACAACCAGTTTTGGCCTCTATTTTTTTATATTACGCATGTATTTTCTTGAAACAAGCTTTCGAATAGACAAAGTCCTTAGTTTTTATCTTTCTAGAATTTGGTCAGTAATTATGACGATCCTTGCACACACTAAAACCAGCATTATTGGCATAGTTGTAGTAACCATCCTATGCTTCTTTATCATCTTTTTACATAAGTAAAGCGCATCAAAAGCGTAGTGAAAACATAGTGAAAATGGAGTGAAAGTGCAATGAAAAATCAATAGATAAAGCACAATGAAAACACAACAAAAGCCCATCAAAAGCGCAACAAAAGCGCATTGAAAGAGTAGTAAAAGCGTAGCAAAAGTGCAATTAAAGCGCATTGAAAGTGCAGCAAAAAGCTCAGTTCAACTGTAGTGAAAGTGCATTTAAAAAAAGCACAGTGAAAGGTCAAGAAAAGCATAGTTAAAGCTCAGTGAAAGCCCAACAAAAGCACAATTAAAACACAGTAACAAATATGGTAGCAAATTACACAGTGAAAGCACAGTAGTAAATGTTTAGTGCTCTTTTGCTTTTTATATGCACTTGTATGCACAACATTGATGTGCTTTTTCTACGCAGCTTTATTTTAGAACTATGAAAAATAATAAAACGTTGGAAACCCTTAAAACAATTTGGGATGAGGTAGAAATTTACTGATAAGTTGAAACTTGCAACAGTTCCAGCCAAATTAACTTCCGATTTTTTTAATGTTTGCATACATCTTTTCAACCTTTGTGTTCTATGAGCATTCCATCTTTGTGGATAATGCAACGTTGCTCCTAAATATTTTCTTTCTTAGCAGGTATCAAATGTCCTAAATATTTGGATTTGAAAACTTTGGTGGAATTTTTCTTAAAATGGTGCATCAACCCAAAATCTCTCTTGCAAAAAAGTAAAAAAATGTGAGTCTGGCATGGTCCTGACAAGACAAAAATCCAATTGAATATCACCGTGTTAGGATTTAATTGGTTTTTGGATGCAGAGCTACGTCCGAACTCTGCACGAAATAATTTCTCCACATAGAGGCATCACATTTCTGTAAGAACAAGGGAAATTCAATCAAAATTAGTTAGTTCAACTAATTTAAAGTCATTCATGCTCTAATTCAAGTGGTTATGATGCTAACAAACTTGGCACACAACGTTGAATCTTGTATTAGGAAGGGATATTAACAAAGATAAAATATTATTATATTATTGATTATATTAAAAATACCCTGAGTTTGAAAGATCATGAGCTAACAAAATGACATACGGCATTAATACACATTTGAATTACTTGATAATAAATAGCAGGTTAAATTGTGATTATTTTTGTTAAGTTGAAAAATGCATTGTTTAAAGTGTGAATTTTGTTATGTTAAAAATTACTAAGTTGTTTTGTGTAAAAATTTCTAAATAAGTGGTGAATGTAAAAAAATTTAACACAACCCTCCACCACCACAACTAAGTTGCCCACCGCTTTGAAAAGAAATATTATGTTCAAATAAAGAGCTTATAAAATGCAACTTTTATTTGGTCCGGTGTAAGGATGCAGAGGAACATCCAGTCGTAGGCAAACACACCTCAGTATAGGCGGGATTTTGCCTACGACTGGATGTTCCTCTGCATCCGGTCGGAGGCTGTAATAATTGTTCTATAAAATGAGAGCACTCACGAATAACTTCATTCCAAAAAAAAAAATCTTTAAAAAAATATAAAATAAAAAAATTTGACTAATTTCCTATACTAAATAGCATAGAAAGTCATATTTCTTGTTTTTTTATTTTTACTTCTCAATCATTTTTATAACAAAAGTCTAACAAAAAAATTCCAAAGGGCGACTTCTCCGTTATAATAAAAAAAAAGGAAAAGTTAAAACTTGAAGAGTCTTTCTCACAGATACAATATATTTATGCCACATAATAATACACAAGCTAATGAGAAACATAATCCAAGGTTCATAACACGCCATCCAACGAGAAACAGAAAGGAAAAAAAAAAAGCAAAAACCTTGGAAAATGATAAAATTAAGTCTTCAGTCACTGGAATAGTCTTCTTCATCTTCATGCTGCTTCACAAACTTCTCTATTAACCTTTTGCTTTCCCCTTCTACCACGGCATTCTTTGATAAACCACAAGTATTATTACCATCATTAAGAACTGGATCACATTTGCACAGAGCTAAGGCAACAGCTGAAACACGCAAGGATCAACATTAGCATTACATTAATATTATTTCTTCATGCAACAATTTGTCATTTCATGATATTTCTCTTCTCCAAAAGAAAACTTGGAATATAATGTGAGAATTGGAAGGTTTCACAGCCAGAACTCAGTCCTCCCATGCAAACAGACCAGTTACCATCTTCAGAGCAGTATCCTAATTATATTTAGGATTAACTTAAAGGGTTTCGTTTGGAATATTTTTTTCAGAAACATTAATTTACAGACAAATGCCATAATTATACTGGTCTAAAATTATTGTTATTTTCCCAAACTTCAACTATATATATATATATTTTTTTTTTTACAATCAAATCCATTAGATTGATAGTTATAAGAAAATTATCATCTAACTTTTCTTAGAGAATCTATAATACCTATAATAACTTTCAAAAATCTTATTTTTCTCTGATTATTTTTAATTTTATAGGCATTTATATTAAACCCAAACGAACCTTTTATGAATTCTCACGTTTCATTCAAATTTTAATTCATTTAAGTAATACTGGCAGACGTTATTCTATTGACTTGAGACATAAAACATAAAGTTAATTTTTGACATGAATACTTAAATAAGAACCTGTAGACAGCATGCATACAATAACACTGCTTGTAGGAGAAACCCAATTCGAAATCACTGAGCAATCTTAGAACTCATTTGATTGCTAGAAGGGAAAACCTATGTTAGAGAAAACGTTGAAAATTGCTAAATCCCTCATTCATTGGATGCAGTTAGCTTTTATAAATTCTCTTAAAACTCTTAGAAATAATTTCATTTTAATATATTAAAATAACAAATGAAATCAATTTTTTGTAAAAAAAAAATCATCAATAAGAAACCAAATATGTTGGATCCAAATTGATCCTTCAAATATACTCAGCCTTACTAGTAAGCATATACTCAAGCGCCTAACCCGAGAACTTATGTTGAGTATTGAAGAAAGAAGATTTTTGGAAGTAGAATATTTCATTAAGTTAATAGGGCTTCAATAATGTGCCAAAAATATTCAAAATATATCACTTCACCCTTCATTTATAAGAACCTAATAGCTACAGGGATGGCTACACAAAAAATAAAATAAAAAGTACTATAATAAATAAGATCTAGTACGGATTGCTTTGGACATGTCTCAATCAAATACTTGCTTTGGCCTAATTGCTCTTCTTTAATTCAACTTTCCAGCCTCAGGGCAAGTTCCTTTGTGCCAAGCATTTGTCAGCGAATAAATGAAAGCGAGTCTCCAAATGGGTCGAGCTGGAATGACTAATGTGGGTGAATCATCTGACCGCACCAGCAATCTCTTGGATGAAGTTCTTGGGCTATTTTGATATGAAGGGTGAGTCCTCGTAAATTACGAAGGTAGCAAATTTCATGCCTTGCTAATCAAGAGGAAACATTTTTTGCGTCTTCCTTGGCGTAATCCTTCTATGTGATCAATTTGGCGAATTCCATTGATAGCTCACCAACTAAGACAATGACAAGTCGCTTTGAGAGGAAATCTCCACTGAAGGGGCAAGTTCACCATGTTTGAGCCCTGTGTGAACAATGGAATTCCCCTTCGAGGAAATCTTTCTCAAATTGCCTTTGCCAAGTTGGGTCGGATCCTTTAGTTGTCATGTAACAATGGTTGAGGAAAACCATTCTTGGACGAGTCTGTGCTGCTAGGCCTATCGGGTCCATGTCCTTACCGGGTCTTTATATTGGAACCTGTTAAATACCTATGAGACACCAAAAAAATATATGTGCGAGTATACATTTAGCTCGTTGATTCAATTGAACATTTAGAAAGCGATTTGTGAAAAGGCATGTGAATTAATGAGAAGAATTTATTATGGCAACCCAAGCAATTAAAAGAAAAGTAAATGCAGAGTTACTATCATATTTTTGTTGTAACCTTGGAAGCTATGTTGATTCCTCATAATGATAATAATGTGAAGCCACTCACCAGTTACTATCGGAAGTTTGTGAAGGGATATGGTACCATAGCAAGAACTTTAACGGAGGAATTGAAAAAAGAAAGATTCAAGTGGAGGGAGAAGGCGACTCGAGCCTTTTAGGAGTTAAAGACAATAATGACCAATGTGCCTATGCTGGCACTTACAGATTTTAGGAGAACATCTGTGGTAGAGAGATGCATCAGGCTATAGACTATGAGCAATACTCAAGCAAGGTCAGAGGCCTATTGTATAATTCAGCTAGGTGCTCACAATAAGGTTAAAGCTCAAGTATATGTATGAGCGGGAGCTAATCACGAACATCTTGGCTATCTAGAAATGGCGGCTTTATATGCTGGGTAAACATTTCATAGTTAGGACCAAGGTTTTAAAAGGCAAAATCGGGAATCGATGCGTTTTTTCTAAGCGAGGCGAGGCGTAAGCCTCGAGGTGGATCGAGGCGTAAGCCTCAAAATGATTAAAATAAATTAAAATCTGAAGATTTCTTTTAAGATAATATTACTGGAATACAAGATTTAAAATAAATTCACTTAAAAATAAAACATCCCCTTAGGATCAAGACCCAAAGCAGGCCCATCATCACTTTAATTGTCTTCAGAAGAATCTTCAAAATTAATGTCAAAGTCATCCTCAAACTCTTCTTCATCTATAATATGTTTTCCTTTATCTCCTATACCCGTTAATATTTCATTAGCTCTAAAATGAAACAATAGTAACATACAAAATAATTCATTATATTTAAGAATATCTTTAAATTTTTTTGAAGCTCCAATCTCATTTTGTTTCTTTCTTTTATATATTTGGGTAGTTGCTTTATTGTCTTCTTCATTGACATGAGTTTCTCTTTCTGCTTCAACTTCAGAAACATTAGCATTCTTAGGAGTAACCCATTCATCATCAAATTGTAACTCATCAACAAGCAAAGGGTCAATTTCATTCTCAATATTTTCTTAATTCTGCAATTTGAGATGTCTTTCTATCAGTTTTTTGTTAAACATAACATAAACTAATTTGTTCATTCGATCTGCCGCCAATCGATTTCTTCTCTTTGTATGAATTTGATTGAAGATACTCCAATTACGCTCGCATGCAGAAGCCGAACACGTTAGGCTAAGAACTTTAACTGCAAAAGCTTTCAATTCAAGAACATCATCTCCAAACTGAGCCTACCAACGTTCTACATGGAAACAAACATAATATTTTATGAATATTGGTTACAGTATAAGTCTTAAACATAAATATTAACATTAAAATTATAAATACACAAACTATAAATATATCAGGAGATCGTGTTTTGTAGCATGCTTGTGCTGCTCTAAATCCAAACATTTCATTCTTCAAATGAAAATCCTCAAGTTGATCATTCACTTTGAGGTAGTCTTCTTCAAAAATGAGTCTGTCCATACATACATACAAACCAGTTTTCATCTCTTTGGCAACATGAAAATCCTTATCATAATGAAATTGGGGGTTTAAATAGTACGCAGCAGCATGTAAGTGTTTGTGTAATTATCGATCCCACTTTTCATCTATAATATCCCATATTTCTTTGTAGGCACTTTCTTAACCTCTCAATTCTTTTGCAATGTCTTCTTCAGCCCTATTCATTGCTTTATAAATAAATCTCATAGCTGGGGCCCTCTCACCATCAACCATTCTAAGCACCTTTACTAATGGTTATGTTGTCTTTAAAGCATAATTTCTACTGCGCCAAAATGAATCGTCTTTCATAACAATCTTTCTAACTTGTTTTCCTTCTTGTTTTTTGGCCCATAAACTTTTTATCCCACTCTTCAGAAACAAATATTGCTTTCAAAGGTTGTCTTAACTATTTGAATCTCTGCAATGTTAAATATAAAGTAGCAAATCTTGTAACAGCAGATCTAATAATTTCCTTGTCAGTAAATTTTCTCATAAAGCAGAGTACCCAAGAATGATTGTATATGAACTAACTAACGTATTTGGCCTTCAATATGGCTGATTTATGTTGAGGCAATTGTCCCAACCTCTCAAGCATCAAGTCAATACAATGTGCAGCATAAGGAGTCCAGTAAAGGTAAGACCTCTTCTCCATTAACATTCTCCATGCAGCTTTGTATGCACTTGCATTATCAGTAACAACCTGTACTACTAAGGCATCTCCCACTTCCTCCACAACTTCATCCAATATTTCAAACAATAATTGCACATCCTTTACAAAGCTTGAAGCATCTACTGATTTAAGAAAAACTGTTCCATATAGATTGTTGACCAAAAAATTAATGATACTTCTATGTTGAATATCTGACGAATCATCTGACATTATTGTCACTCTTGTCTCAATCCAAGTCTTCTTAATATCATCCACCATTTTGAAGTTGTCTTAACCTCCTCATTCAGCATCCAAGTCCTCAGCTCATACATGCTTGGAAGTTGTAGTCCTCTTCCATAGCTTCCAACGGATCATAACATATTGATTCATGACAGACTCCTAACAACATAAAATGGAATCCCATTTTCATAGATGAATCTGATGATATCCAAACAAACTCTGTTCCTGAGTTCTTTTGTAGCGGTAGGAAACTGAAGATCCTGAGTATTTATGTTATCCTCGTCATCAATATTTATCATAAATCTATCCATAGGACCCCGAGTGCCTCGGTTAGAAGAAACTAGATGGCTTCTACTACTGGAACCTTCATGCTGTGATCCATAGTAAGAAGAGTTTCCTATCATCTCTTCCATATTTTTTTGTGTGACCTCCTTTGTGGTGGCAAATTTATTTAAATAATCTGTACATTCCTTTTTCACCTCATCAGGTACTTTTGCACATGGTCCCACATTGACATTAGTGCAGGCTAGATGATCCTTCAACCTCTTGACACCACCATTTATGTGTTTCTCAAAGAAATTACATTTCATATAAACATATCCCTTCTTTGTACCTTCGCCTGACACTTCAACTTGAGTTCTATATTTCCATGCAGGATCTTTCCTTCTTGTGCCACTAGTCATGCTAATAATTTATAAAAATAAATAATCAACATCAAATATGACAGATTTTAATAATTATTTATACTACCTATAATAAGACAACATGAATACAACAATATACCAGTCTGCCGGAGGTCCAAGGGGGCGCTGCCCCCTAACGGGGTTCGATCTGTAGTATATGCTCAATACAATAGGTCTTCCGGGGGCAGCACCCTCAGAACAAAATTTTATTATAAGAATAATTTTGAAATTCTGTTTGTTGTATATGCTCAATACTGAGCAGTACCAAACTTGTACCGCTCGGTATCAAGCATATACTGCTCAGTACCGAGCGGTACTGGCTCGGTACCGAGCGTGTACCTAGTGGTACCGAGCATGTACCGCTCAGTACCGAGCATATACTTGCTCGGTACCGAGCATGAACGGAGCGGTACCGAGCATGTACCTTCTCGGTATCGAGCATGTACTGAGCAGACGAAAGAAAGAAAGACAAATCAGAAGTTATTCAAGCTTTCGTTACTACACGTCAAAGTCAAGGCCCACAACACCGCTCACCTGCTCTTCCGACCTAACCAAGGTCTGAACGTTTCCTGCACTCACAACTTCGGCTTTGTTTCTTGCTTTCGAAATCGTTATTGCTTTCGGCTTTGTTTCCTGCGTCGTCTCCTTCTAACTTCATCTCCTACACTCACGGCTTCGTCTCCTTCCCTCACGGCTTCGTCTCTTTCCCTCACGGCTTCCCCTCCAATTTGCCTTTCAATTCTCATAGGAAGCCTTAATCCTATACGCGAATACGCGAACATGAATCGGCTACGTCATATTTACATATATACCAAAGAAACAATTTCAAGGCGGTGCCTCGTACTGCCTCGAGGCGTTATGCTATGATGCGTACGCCTCGTGCGAAAAAATCATAAACTTCGCTGGATGGTTCGAGGCGTAAGCCCCGATACGCATGACTTCCGCCTCGACTTGAGGCATGACTCAATGCGGACGCCTCGACTGCTTTTTTAATGGTTTGTTAGGACATATCAGAGGAGATTGAAGTTTTTGTTGGAACAACGGATGGTTAATAAGGAGCACCAGAGATGGCTATCCAAATTACTTGGATATGATTTTAAGATTCAATACAGGTCAGGACTACAAAACAAGCCAGCAAATGCATTGTCCATGAGAGTCAAGGGACCTCAGTTGGCGGTCTTGTTAAGTATCATTGATGGTAGATTGGGAGGCATTAAGATATGAGAATGAGCATAATGAAAAATTGAGGAAGATCAAGGAGGAGCTGCTAAAGGATCCAAACAGCCACCCATGATATGTTCTGAAAGAAAGATAATTATTGTACAATGGGAGGATTAGATTACCCCATACCTCGGGGATATTCTCAATACTACAAGTTCCATGGAAGTGCGATAGGAGGATACTCCAGAGTTCAGAAGACATAGTCGACTATCAACAGAGTTATATTGGATAGGAATGATTCGCAACATAGAGAACTGGGCAGTCAAATGTGATGTGTACCAAAAAATAAGAGTGATAGGCCAAAAACATAATTTGGAAGAATTATTTTTTTCTTTTAATTTACACAACCAAAATTACCTAATTTTTTTATCAATATAAATAATAATAGAAAAAAACTATCAATCAAAACATAAATGTATACAAATGTATTCATTTACCAAAATCATATACACTACTCATGATTTATACAATCGTAGCACAACTACTCTGTCCTTAACATAAAAGAATAGCTAAAATAACAAGAAAATGAATATAAACCTGAAAGATCC